ATATACATAGTACTGTATTTTATTGTACTGCATATTTTATATCATAATATTATTTTTGTATCATTCACAAATAATAAGATGTTATTTTATTAGGTATAATTATTACACATTAAATATTTTTTTTTACTGTAAGAAGTTATTATTATACAAACAATTTTATGGTTTTGTTTTTGTACATACCCGAATTACTTTTATGATTATTATGATCAGGTATACTCGTATTCATATATGCATAAAATCAATTATTATATCATTATTATTATTTATAACCTTACATTGGTTTTTATAAAAACTATTAAAATACTCAATCCGTTCAAGTAGTGGTGAATTTATGAAATTGTTTGTAAGTAGGAGGTACACCGTTAATGAACAATTTTATGAACTCCTCGAGAAGGAGTTTGAACGCCTTAGTCTCCTGTAGAAATACTTTAGTATAATCGTGTCCCTTTATTTTATAACAAAAAATATAAATAATATATTTGTTACACGAATGATATATTTTGTCTCGCCAGTTTTGAATAATGAAGATAATGCTAGTTCGACCTAATCAACTATATTATTTATTTATTTATTTTATTTATTAATAATATTATGATAAAACTATATAGTTTAAGTTAACGGTCTGCAACTTATATTTCGGGGTATACGTAGGTACTTTCAATAATTTGAAAATGCATAATATTATCATGGAATAATTTTAAATAAGTAAGTTGATAATTGGTTTTTCTGACATTTGTACTTACTACCATATTTTATTGTAACACTTATAAAATAATATTTTTCAATCGGCCGTGGCAGGAGAAATCGGATTTGTTTTAATTTGGTTATTTTTGTTTGGTCCGCCGTAAAGTCACGAACGGTTCATACTTCCAATGATGAGTGGTGGAAAAAAAATGTTTAAGACCACTATGCTTACCTCGCGAAATACACTCAAAACACGTTGTTATGACTACGCAGCAGAATAGGCGTGGGGGGTCTTCCATGACTACGTCAGTGGGCCAGTTGTCCGAGTGAGCGACTTGCGTGGTACCGAATAGTCGTAGAAGCTGCTTATCCTGGTACGACATACATAATAGTCTCTACGCCCGAAGGTACATAATAACGAAACATAGATATGATATACCTACCTGCGAATACGTCACTGGTTATTACATATTATGTAGTACGCATTTAGCTCTGGAAAACCTTGATCTATGGTTTATGTGCGGTTTATAAATAGTTATTCGTTTTGTTCGATTCTTATTTCTTTTCTTCGGCGTCTTTCCGTTTTTCCTTTGTTTGCACAATACGCGTCATCTTATAGCCTGAGGTTATAATATTCAGTATAGCTATATATAGGTATTAAATATTAATATATGGACACGAGTGAATCGCCGCCCGCGGTGATTTGATTTAAAAAGAGATAACTCGGATGTCCTCCCGATTTCATAACAACAATTTTCTCGAATTGACTTCCACGTTATAAATAGTTGACCATTTAGTAAACTGGCTCCAATAAAATATAAAGTAAATCGCCAATTTGAATAATATCGTTTCACTTATTTTTGTTTTCATAACTTACCGATAAACGGTTGTTCGAGTCTCCGCACTTATTATTATTTGTTTATTTTTTCGTTGCCGTTATAAATTATTATTATTCCACGTGTTTAGAATTCCCGTTCAAAAGCCCCATTTCTTTTAAGAAAACTGCAATTTACAGATATTTTCCTTTTCTTTCACTACACGAAGAATCTCTATGCCCAAATGAACTTTTCTACCTATATGTAGCTTATAATTTTAACATAATCGAACTTTATTAAGCCGGACTAATTGGTGTTCTAAGTTGTCCGAATTAATGAAAGTCCGGATTAAAACAAAGTAACCAAGAATCATAAATCATACATTTAAAAATATTGTATTGTATATTTTACTATACTTACAAAACTTAAGTAAATCTAATACATATATCTAACAATATTAAACCTAAAAAAATAGTACATAGTTGTGTAATTGAACTCGTTTTCATGTTTATTTTAATCTACATCATGAACTAGATAAACGGCCGTCCGGATTAAGTGAAGTCCGGATTAATGAGGTTTTACTGTAATGAGCGTGTCAGAGAGCCAATAACAAAAATAAAAACTTGTAAAATCCCTCATGTTAAAATGATTTAATATTATAGGTCTAATTTATTACCTAACCTTTCGATGTCTTAAATTAAAAAAAATTTAAAGCAAAGGCAGCCGGAAAGCAGACATATAAGGGTGAAAATAACTGGATAAATTTGTTTATGTAACACAGCATACTATTTGAACATGGTCTAGCACACTATACCATCCGCTTAAATTATCATACGTTTAAATTAATAAATAACCAAAACATTGTATCTTAATTTTTTTTATATCTACGTTCAATTACATTTTTTTTTAAACCAGTTTTTTTTATCATAACTATCGATGCACTTTAACAGTACATTTCAAAGATGCACACAACTATTAAATAATTAGTATATTTTTTTTGTAAATAAATTTAAATAATTTATTATTTTTTATTTTTAAATAAATTTAAATAAAAATTAATTAACTGTCGATTTAATTATGTAATATAATATACAATAAAAAATAATTAATTCGTAATATGTAAATATTACCTAGTTAATATCACGTAATTATTATTTATTTTTTTTTTTTGATAGAGATTTAAGCTATGTACATATGCATTTAATATTTATACATAGATGACTCAAGCTTAAAGAAATATCGTCTTAAAAATAACACTATTTTCATTATTAATTACTCTCCAAGCGATATTTTTCTTGATATTCAAGCTGCTTTCAAATACTACGATATTTAAAAAAAAAAACAATCAAATATTTTTAATGACACAGGATGTATAATAATAAGTGTATTATATTGAAGATATTTTAAAACCCAAAAAATGAGTAATAATGCTTATCACTCGCATAATAATATGTTTACTATGTTTTTCATTGTATAATGAGTTCTAATGACTACTTGGTGACTAAAGCCCATAGGTTAAAATTAAAGACTAACATGTAACATGTATTTACCATTTTGTGTGTGATTTAAGGACATAAATGTACATTATAAACGGAAAAGTACCTCTCAGTCGTGGACCTTTCTAACCGCAGATGTAGCAACTCTGGTCGTCATACATATACCCAAACACCGTGACATAACACTCAACAAATAGGTATTTCAGGGTGTCAGACATTTCAACGTAGTATAATATACCGCGCACTACGACCACCCACTCGCACTGCACACAGCACGCTTTGAACAGCTTTAATAAGATAATATTATATATATATTATAATAATGAGCATGCATTTGATTGAAGATACGTATTTTAAAATTCAAAAAATTCATAGTATAATAATATGGTGAATGTTCTTTTTTTTTTTTTTTTGATATTATGATGACTAAATATAACAATTGAAACCTAACATAATTATTTATCATTTTGTGTGGGGTTTAAGGACGGAAACGTATAATATTATAAACGCAAAAGTACCTAAAGTACCTTGCTGACAGCAGATGTAGCAGCTCTGGTCGTTATACATACCTAAACACCATAACAATACTATACCAATAAATTGGTATGTCGGAGTGTCAGAAATCTCGAAATAGTTCTATACCGTATACGGAGTACGCTTTGGGAAGCTATAATACTACGATACCTATGAACCATGTAGGTAGCTATATGAACATAATATATATAGGGTGCAACAGACAGATATGAAAAATTAAATAACTTGTTATGTAATCAAAATTTTTTTTTCGTATAGTTATAATAGATAATAATACATAATTAATACGTGTATTACAAGCGTCTATTAATTATACAAAAAATAAATTTTAAAATATTCATTGGATCACAAGTTATTTTATTTGTCATATCTTTCTGTTACACTCTGATTATACGTTAGCAGTAATGTACACAATATTTCAATACGTCATTTAATTAAATAACTAGTTATTCTATACAATTTCTAAATATGCTCGTAAATATATAAATTAGGTACATGGTTTTACTAGGTAATTAATATATAAAATACCAGTTGGGTTTTTGGATTTCGCTAATGTATTGTAGTTATCGTTAGGCTGATAATCAGGTTTTTCAAATGCACATGCCAACAAAATGGTGCATATGTTTAAAAAAAAAGTATCTTGTAACTCTAAGTGCCACCCAAAATGTTCATGTCCTAATAAAAAAAATTTATAAAAAAAATTGTAATAATATAGGACTATAATGCACTTAATATTGACATTCGATTTTTTTTTTTAATTTTCAATTTGCTCAACATTTTTACTTAAACACATTTCATTTTTTAAATTAACTCTCAACGCCAGTGCGTATACGATAATGACTTTAACTTTGTATCTGTGTGTACATCTTAATAATATTATGTTGTATTTTTAGAACCCGTGTAAATAAGACCCCAAAATTCCATACCTTCAGGACCACATTAAAAATTTGACCGACAGCTTCTTAAAAAATATTCAGAAATCAATAGGATCAATGCGCAATCAACTCAACATGGGACCTACAACGTGGACGCCCTTACGACCTAATTGTTTAAATAAACGCTTAGCATTAAGTCACCATCACAATTGTTACTACTCCACAATAATTAATAATTAGAATTAATTTCATTTATCGCACTTACCAAAACTAAACATGTACATATTGTCATCAGTAGACGTAGATAAAGTAATCTAGGAGTATCGTATTGTATTTATAAATAAAAATATATTTTATTAAAAATAATACAGTTCGTGTACAATATATCTATATAATTACCTATATAGTAATACAATAATAATAATAATAATGTAATACCATATATTTACATTATTATTGTTTATATAAAGAAATAGTTGTTCAATTTATATAATTATATACCTTCAACTTATAATATTACTTATATGTATATTAATATTACGCGTATTCCTAAATCATATTACGAGTGTGTCCTGTGAATACACGACTACGTCATATTCAGTATTAAATAAACTATTAACTTGCGATTACAAAAAAAGCAGCTTTATATGATTTTATTTCTAATGATACATGAAGTTGGTCGGTATTCAATGTGCCTCTAATACAATCGAGGCACTTGGAAAATTGTATATAGTATAATGTTCGAAGTGATTGGAACAAATAAAAAATATATTATATGATAATAAATATATAAAATAAATAATGTAATGCGAAGAGAAACATTAAAAAAAATTATCATACGTGTTTATGAAACTAAACTATTATTTACAAAAAAAAAATATGATAAATCAATAATAGTATCATATCCAATTGTAATCAAATCCGACAAAAAATTAATTAGGTAATAGTTAGGTACCTATTTAGAATTTTTTTTTAGTTTTAATCGGTTATTACTTATTATAAATGAGTCATAACTTTTTTTGGAGTTTCTGCAACTGTAGGTTTTTCAATTGGTATTTCGTTTCTTGTGGACGTCTCACTCTTTTTCCTAAAAATTATAAAATAAATTTGATTGTTGAAACATGTTTTTTAATTCTAGATTATCATAATGTTCATACAAATGATAATTGTATAAATAAAATAACAAACATTACGACCGACCATAACAAATCAATCAAATTTGATTTAATTTAAAATGTGCTTCAGGCATAAATAATAAAAACCGGTTTTCCGAAAGTGGGTTCAGTTTTTCTTTGTGTAAGTACTATTGTTCAATGACATAATAATATATAAATATAATATAATACGTTCAGCGCTTTAAGTAATAATTAATAATTACAGTTGTCTAGCTCATCAAAAACAAGTCCTTGTATTTGTGAATTTATACACTTTGGCCATATTAAAAGCAACTTATATTAAAAGGAAACACTTGCGCAACCAGGTGGATCCGTCTCCCTCTCATCCTTTGGGCCGTATATACAATTATGCATAAAATGTAATTATTAAAAACTGTTATAGTGTTATTTTTTTTTTGTATTAGCCCTCTTGAAAATTTCCTTTTGGCTTATATAGTTAAATAATATAAATAAGAAGAAGAACAACAATATGGATAAATTATCAACTAATAGCAAAGTTTGTGGCAGTTCACATTATGATAGCAAAAATGATAACGCACAACTATGAAGAACAATTCGTAACGTAAGGGGCATCAAACAAAATATGGAGGGGGAGTGCTCTTGAAAAAACCACTGGTTAGCATATTGAAAGGAAAAATGTTGCTAACCAAACCAAAATAGTAATACCTACGTATGAAAACAAAAATTAAGTAATGACTTACCCTCGCCCGAACATTTGTCTAGTCAAATTTCCAAACGGTGCTTCGACGACTAAGTATAATGCTAAGCCCATCAAATAAGTTTTGAATGTATCGTATATCCAAGTATCCAACTAAAAACAAACGAATTGAAACAATATTTTCGTATTCATAAATAATCATTTTGAATGGGAGACAGTGCAAATTATTTAGTCACTTCCTAATACATTTTATTTAATGTTCCAAATTCTCTTTGACTTACCAATGATTTTGCTGATAGATAAGTGGGCACTCTTTGAGAACTCTGAGACATCATCATAACGATAAGGTTCACTAAAAACACGGAGTATGAGAGCCTCCCCATGGGTGCAACAAATCTGTTATCGAAAAGTTTTATAAAAAGACCTGTAAGCAATAAAAAAATAATTAAAATTCGTGTCATAAAATTTCAATAACATAATACGTTTATGATAGTTTATAATATTAAAAACTGATTCCCAAATTATGCAGTATTGTGACAATTAAAATAATAATGTGACGATATCATTGATTCAAATCTCAAATCGCTAACATTATTGTTTTCGGTATGAAAACGACATTCGGTTCTGAGTTTCAGACCATGCTTAAATGTATCCTAATTAATTCTTAAACGTGCCCCATTATCTCTCAAAATTTTGGTTTCATTGGGTTTGTAACCAAAGCAACAAAACTTAGCGATTACATTTAATATTTTAATCATAATTATAAATAGATACTACCTTAACGGGTCCAAGAGGACAAATAAATAGACTAACAATATTCCGTGTGACTAAAATTCTAATTACCGTAACCAGTTGTGTAATAGCAAATAGTAATCCATATAAATATTGCCGTCCATGTCAAATGGCTGAATGTCGAATATAGAGCTTGTTCTAAAGGATAATAAGGCCTATGTCTCGTATAAAATATAGCACCGTAAAACTGTACCCATAAACAGATCAGAGTTACGACGAACGTCCCTCCATAGACAGTAACCTAGAACATGAAAATTGAGGTTCATATGGTTTCAATCCATAAACGAATAATATACGTAATAGACGTCTGTACTCTATATTTACCAGTGATAATTTGATTTTTTTCTCTTTCAATTTATTGATCATCAAGCTCATTGCCACCCCGACGAAAAAAGGCGTGGCTCGCATGTGACTGGCTCTGTAAGACCCGTTAAACGTTGCCGAAGTTCTAGGGTTTTCTAAAAATCTGAAATTAGTTTTTACTTTAATGAGTGTTTAATTCTATAGTTCAACGGTTTAACAATATTCGCCTCTGTAACATTCGAATGTCTAAATATTAATAACACAGACAACAAGAATAAGACTTCTCATGTTTAACAAACAGTATTAAAAATCAATTATGTTTTCGTTCTTGAGAATAAACTCATTAAACTTATAGAATTACAGCTCTTTTTGAGATTTTGAAATTAAATGCATAATATTTATAATACAAAATAATAAAGGTATTATCAATCATATATAAAATATTATTATGTATAATAGTAAGGTACATGTAATATTGTATTAGGTAGGTACATTATATTATAAGCGCATGCCTGTTATTTATAAGGTGCTTAAAAAATCGATTCGAATGGGTATTATTATTTATTGATAATATATGTTAATGGGTGTTATAATATTACCCATACGTTTTACTTACGGAATGTGTACTTTAAGTATTCCATCACTTTTCGTCATAATTGTGATAATAAATGGCGTAAGTATCGACGTAATAAGAATAGTAGCGAGCAATCCAATTCCGTACTTTTTGTTCTTTGTGTAAATATAAACTAAAACAACGCCAATTATGAAGAACTGAACGTCACACGATATGTACCAGCTCACTATGAGGCACTGTTTAATCATAATAATATTAAATATTAGGCTTAGGTAAGATTAAATAAGCTAATATAGTTTTTGTAGAACATTATTTTTTTTTTTTTAACTAAAATGTATTTCCTTTAGGTGCAAATATATTGCGTAGATATATAACTATAACTTATATATATATATATATATAAGACTTACATTGTAATTGGCATCTATTAAATTACTTATAAAAAGAAAATTGGTCCACCAATATTTTTTACACGTCTCGGCTTCGCTCCAGGTCTTTTGAGTCCAAAGTGGACCGTCTCCAAGATGAGGTACGATGTTAGCTGTGATCACCATCATCGCACAATAAGCCGGTAACATTCTAAAATCATATAAATTAAGATCGTATTTATTATTGATGACCAATATTTTCCTTAAGCCATATATTATAACCGAGAATTAACATAAAATTACATTCTACTTAACAATGTATGACAAAATAATTTTACCTTACTATTCGGTAGACAACTGGAGACGCAAGTTTCATCCATACCGATCCAGGTTTCAGGAATATCGGAGAGACGGTAATGTACAAGATAAAACCACTAATGAAGAAAAACGGATCTACTAGATTCATACTAGTTAATAATATATTCGGTCCATGTAAATAAATCTATAATTATTGTGAATGATTTAATTAATGTTATTTAGAACTGTTGTAGGTACATGAAGTATATTTGAGCAGAATTTAAGTACCTCTAATATTAGTAGTTAATAAAATAAGCATAAAATCTACCTAGTTAAATTTACTAAATAGGTAACAGATATAATAAAAATCTGTCTTAAATAATGTCATCGTAATTATAATTAAAATACCGACTTTATATTATTATTGTAATCTATGGTAATGTATTTATATTTTTAATCGAAATATATTATTAAAAGAAAACTGCTGGTCTAAAAAATACTATTTTTTTTGGTGTGAGGCAATAATATTCAAATTCCACATTTTCATTTCACAAGATGTCGACTTGGCTGTGAGCCCACATTGTAATTCCACTTATTTATATTGTTTATCAGAAGAGACTCGAGGGAGTAGGTAGTCGTTTGATAATAATTCTAGAAGTCAGGATCGAGATAAATAGTTAATTAAGATAGGCACTATACTCATCTCGATACTGTCATCAATACAGAAGAAACCAAACGAAGGTTCTTGATGCGTGATGTAATGTGTAACGAAGGAAAGGTGAAATAGATTAATTTATAATGTACACATATGACTATATAGGTAAGTATGTAAGACATGATAAGGAACACATAATTTGTAATTTTTTTTTAAAAATATTTTCTTAACTCACATCTTCGACAAATTTAGGATGGCTCATAGGATTTCCTGCCAAATACATGAATCTGTGACCAAATAATATGAATAGCATAGTTGTCACTTTTGCACCATTCAGTATATTTAATTCATTTGTTTTATCATATTTTAATAATTCTTTGGCAGACTTGATAAATGAAAATGAAATTAAAAATGAATCATCTGTAAAACAAAATATAAGTTACACCATAGAATGTAATAATTTTTTACACTATTGAGCTAAACTATCAGTTATCACTTTGATTACTTTTGTTAAACGATTTGTATGGAAGCATTTTTAGTATAATTTTACCAAGACGTTTTTAATTTAAATTTATATTTATTGATTTTGATATTTATTTGGTAGAAATAATATAATAATGGTTTTCAGAATGCATTTGATAGATTCGTAGATATATTTTATAACATATTATAATATGTGAATTACCCCTTGCATTATAGATTTTCAGAACTTTGAAATTAAACCATTATTAAAGTACCTGTTTTCTATGAATAATTTAAGTATCTAATATCTAATGATAATCACTGATCGTTGTGGACACTGTGATATGCATATAACATTTTTTGAAAACAGGTCCATAGGATTATATTTTAAATTTCTATCTCAAAAATGTACAAATTAACAGTGAGTATATTAATTTGTATAAATGTATACGTTTTCACAGACACGATAGACGGCTTTAAATACCTATATTCATGACCTCCCCTACAACTTCAATCGGTAAAAAAAAAGTGTAATCTGACATGGGAAAGTAAAATAATTATTATGGATTTCCTGCTTAGCTGATAATTTAAAATACGCATAGGTATTCAAACATTTTATACTATTTTATGTAAACAATTGGTCATATCACTCACCAGGTAAGGTTTTATTTTGTGGACACGATAATTGAATGAAATGAAAAACGGTCACACCACAACAGATAAAAACAAGTACTACAAAAAATGCACTAAATAATAAATAAAACAAACAAACAACAACATTATTTTGAAATCATTATGATAACAAACAATAGAATACATTTTTTAGAAACAGATAATATATATTAATATCGAATACAATTACAATATTTTCGTTAAAAACATAAAACAACTTACTAATTTGATACGTTCACATTGGTTTTAATTAATTATATAATTATATTTTATTTTATTATTTTCAGGTTGGTTGGGGAGAAAGTTAATAGCATTCAAACCTGGAAAATCAGGATACTCTGCTGTATGGTAGTTGTCAAGTGTACCTCGTAATTGAGTAAATCACTGTTATGGATGTGTTAAATTTGAATTCTCTGATAAACTACTGTATACGATGAAAAAAATTCTGTTCGAAGACACAGTCTGTCTGTTGGCCCATAGGTCAACAAAGTAATTTGAAATTTTGACTGATTTTGTCATTCCACTGTATTTTATTTTTGACTTCTCGTAGGGAAAACTTATGAGAAGCCTTTTATTAAATTTTTAAAATAAAATTTTCCCAAATAAAACTTTTATTATTCCCAAGTCAAGTAAAAACTAAAAAATTTTAACATTTCAAATGTCTACAAACAGGTAACTAGAAAAAAGTCAAAATATTTAAAAAATTGTATGATTTGAAAATGCATCTACAAATTGTGAAACTTGAAATATTATCTAGTTTTACGATATAAATATTCGAATTTAATCTTAATTTTTGTTATTTTTCCCGATTATTTAGTAAATTTCTTGGAAATGTTTACTTTTAACCTTTTGAAGAATCGACATCGACTAGATTAAATTTTCTACCAGAAACCTCCCCAGAAGTTAAATATTGGAGCATTTTTTCTAGAATAAGAAGTCACTTTGGACACCAATTAAAACACACATCACTCATCAGAAATGTAAATCCAATACATTCTATCATCACTAAACTTGGAATCTAATATATTTTTAATTGTCATAAAAATGTCAATATATTTTATTCATAAACCGCAAACCGAGCTTTTAAAGAATTCACATCATGTATTCTTGGATGCAATTTCAATAAACTTAACCGGTTTGAATATGTGTAATATTTTCTAGTTTATTGTCAATGTTTTTTATAATCAAAGTCATGGTCATTTTATTTAGTAACGTGTTTACTCTTGGTTAATCGTCGTTGACTAGTTTTGAAAAAAAACAAATATAATCATTAAAAAGTTTTATCAATCATCGCAAAACTGACATACTATTTTAAGTGATTGTCAAAAAAATGTGGTTTACTAAATATATTTTTTTTCACAGCATTTCAGCACGTGACAATGCACAACGCAATCTGCGTTCAGCGAATATTTTACTCAACACTGTCTAGAATACTATTGAAGTACGTCTCTTTTAACTACACGCAGGCTGTCCTTATCCCAATTATTTGTGTTCTTTGTCTCAATCCGAAAGTAATAATTGATTATTTGTAATTGTATAATTCGCCAGAGAGGCCAGAATTATAATATTTCATATTTTATACTAAGAATTTATTTATTTTAAGGAATGCTTAGCCGTGTTCTATGCACTGTCGAAACGAAAATATTGTTTTTGTTCGAGTCATTTTCGATTTACCTGGTAACAAAATACGCTGTGTCGTAAGGATACATGTCTCCACTCACACTACACAGTATCGGGTCTACTTGAACTACTGCTTTGAAATTCTCCGGTAGAAACACCTTATCCAATTCTTCTTGCAACGACGTCTGTAGATCTGACGCTGAACAAGAATCCGGTATACATATCCCTAAATTCAAACTGTTTCGTTTGACTAGATCTGGAGAATCGACCCACTGAAAGAAAATGGCCAATCGCGTCAATAAACGTTCATTCGTCATATAAGAAAACGATGTTCCAATTTGCTCAAATTCTGTATCGAATTCGGTTTCAGATCGTGCAGCAATTAATTAATATGATAAATACCAATTGAAAATTGTATAGGTACGAAACATTATACCTATTATTTATTGATCGGTATTCATATGCTGTATAATATTATGCACTCATAATAATTGTTCGTGACATTCGTCAGTAGGTACCCTACTTCTTAAGTGGCATTCAAGTATTACAACTATATACGTACCCCGAGTATTGTTTTCCACGCGTGATTGTGGCCAATCTCGTTAATGTTTTCCGTCCCGTTGTGGAAACTGTAATTTTTCCCCGTCGGCGGAAATAAATGTATTTCGCACAAGCAATACTGCCCCTTTACTGGATAATTAACGTCCACACATTCGTCGTAAATACCCATATGATATTTGTTACCCGCTAATATACCAATTGGATGTCGATTCCAAGATTCTGCCACTGAAAAATAATAAATGATAATCGTATATTACAGTCATTTCGTACACTTATAAACTATATTACACCACTCATATATTCATCATGACATTCAGATTATTTCGTTTTATTTTTGATGAAATATTAATAAGTATTATATTATTGATACCTAGGTATATTGCCATACATTTATATGTTTTGTGGATTATTGAAATAAATTGAGTATAGACGTATAGTTGAATGTGCTTACATCATGATGGTCATAACTGCAGCTAAATAACTAGAAATATTTCACATATTTTACTTTACTGCCCATAGGTGTCCTCGCCCTTCCTCCTCAACACGCCCACAAAAAAAATAAAAACAAGAATAGTTATTAAATGCCTAGACTCATGCTTTGCTCTATAAAAGATTTTGAGTGTACCTCGTAATTGAATAGGTTTCTGTATTAGATATGTTAAATTTTAATTCAACAATCAATAATTAATAGCTTTGTATACGAAAAACATTCCGGGTGGAGACGATGGGCCAGCCTCGATTTCTAAGGATATTTTAAGTTTTTAATATATTTGAAATAGTTTATTTTTCTGTTAGTACCTATTAGCGTTGGAAGAGTGATTCCATATATCTGCTTTATTATTAATTATTATAATGTATTATGCTATATAATATTGTAATTAACTTATAATTTAAAAGTTATATCGATATAGGCACCATAAATAGGTTTGTGGTATAAATAGCTGAAAATTAGTTCAAATATTTTGACAGTTAAATTGTAAGTACTTAGAAAATATATCGAGTCCAAAGTTATGTAATTACAATTTTTCATGGGACATAAAAAGTGTTTAAAAAATGGCATACAGACGAAAAATTAAAAATATGCTTAACTCAGAGGTATTCAAACTTTTTCATCCCACGGCTCCCTTTAAGTCTTCACAAAATGTTGACGGTTCTCAAATTATAAATGACAAAAAAATCAATGTTTGTATGTTCGTAATTTATATTTTATAATTTATTTACCATGTTACATATATAAAATAAATTAAAGCTATATTTAGCGAATAATTGTTGTAAACAATTCAACGTTTCCCAACTGGCGTGCCTCAATGATACTAGTAAACGTTTTTCGTAAAAATATTTTTTGGTTTTCAATTATACTACGCGGCTCCCTTCGACAACTCCCGCGACGCCCCTAGGAGCCGCGACGCACAGTTTGAATACCTCTGGCTTAACTATTTTTTTATAAATAAGGTATCAAAAAGCTATATCAAGAAGGTAGATATAAATTAAAACCATTTCAATGGATATGCCCACTGGCTACTACCTATGTCACTATATTTATGATAGTACATATGGTTTAAAAAAAGCAATAAGTACAATTTTGATTCTTATTTATTATATATTTAAAATATGCAATAACAAGTTATTAAGTATATTCAATTTTGATTTTAGATATATCTGGTTATTGAAAACAACTATTAGATTATTAAATAAATATGTTGTTATCCTAGATAGTGGTATTTAAATTATATATACCGGTGTTCGGTATTTATTTACTACCCGTATCAACCGTATTATCGATAATAACGGTATTTTCAGTGACAATAGTAATTACTAAACATACCGGCACTCTTATATAAATACCGAAAATACCTCACGCCCACAGGGATTTTATTCCCTATATACCCATATTGGTAATTAATAATTATTGATGTACAAAAATACTATCGGCCCAACAGATAACTGTTATCCAACTATAATACTGTATGTACGTTAGATAACAATTGAAGGTGCCAGAAATATATAAACGGTGGGGGGAGGGGTACAAAGTCAAAAATATCTGAAAGCACAAACTTGACTCATACAATTTTTTTTTTACAAGTAATAAAACGATTGATAATAATTAATAGAGGGGAGCATTGCCACTCGGCTCCTCACTACAAACATGCCCATGACATGCAGCAATAATAATGCTATTAAATATATATTTATTTTTTGATGAATAAATATTTAGTATTTTAATAATGATAAGTTATTTTATACATGTAAATAAAAATAACCCATAGTCGTATACCAGATTATTACACCGAATAGAATACCTAAACTCGAGTAAAAACGTTAGGAGCAATAACCAGTTAACACCCGGACGTAATCTATTGTTGCACCCAGTCAGTCACGCAAATATAATATATTCCACCGATCGGTAAACAATTTTTGTCTCAACATAACTGTGTTAAAAACGGATTTTTAAAAAAATAATTGGACCTTACTACTTACCAAGTACGTTTATTGGTAACTACTAACTAGTTATATTATGTAACTTAAAATTGCGCCTCTAAAAAAAAATTAAGGAAATGTATATTAAATATTTAAATCACTTGAAATTTTATACGAACAATTAATTATAATATGATTTGAGCAAGCTTGTATTATATTTTCACGATTTTAGACAGAGGAAAAAATGTCCCCCCAACCCCAACCCCAACCCCAAAACCCCTCCTTCTTACGATCAAAAATCTTGGCAACGCCGCTGCAGTTTTAAAATGTCAATATATTTGTATGTGCGCTCAAATATTGCATTAGGTTGTATAAATTTGTTTTAAAATCCCACATAGACACTTGAATACCTTGAAGAGAATTTATTCTTTGAACCACATTGATCATTATTAACGACAAAACGTTTAATAGTGGGTATATTATATTGTATAATATTATCTCCCAAACGATGTCCATGGAATAATATATTTAATTATAAGTTATAATACTTGCGCAATTATTGTTTTCATTTTCGGTAAATACGTACCGTTTGAGTAAAATATGCCTGGTGCGTCATAGAGTCACAGTACTTATTCAAACGCACTGCTGTGGCTGTTATGATTTATCTGCCATCGGCAAAATATAAGTATAGGTAAATTAACAAAATGTGTATACCTATTATATTCTAATATTCGATATTGAAAACAGAAATAAATAATTCATATCATTTTATTTCACAACCACAAACATTTTTTTTTTATTGCACGGAATCCAGCAATAGTATAATGTATAACATGTCACACCTATACAAATTGAATCTCACTGCTATAATATTTAATTTCTTTCAAGTTATTTTTTCCGCAAATTGTGTAACTTCTTTTTTTAATAAGTCCGTGTTAGTCTATCAAATTATGCACCCATATTACTATTTTATATAATGCCACATTCGTGTGGCAAGCATGAAAAAACAAATTAATTTTAATTACCTATGTATCAAGATATGGACACCGCTTTAGAACGCATTCAGTTTTCTCGACACATTCGACATAGGCACTTTGTAAACATTTCCATCGGTAGCATGACGTCTTTCAAATCATAATAACAGTGAGAATATTATTAAGTATGAGACATAATACTTAAGGTTATAACTTCAAGCACGTTTCATAATTATTATTTTTCTTTATCTAGATCACATTATTATTTATTAATGTGGAAAGACTAGCTGGTAACCTGACCATGATCGTACCAACTGATACTAGCATGGAACTAGTGTAAACTGTAATGTAAGGCAGTAGGCTTTTCAGAATCTTTATTAATTAACTATTCAACTAAAAAAAAACTGATTTTTTTTAATTGTGTGAAAATGTAGAGTTTCATAAAAGAATAATGTAATATATTTCAAAAACCCCAAGAACCTTAATATGAGTAGTTGAGACGTATGTATGTATATAAAAAATAATAATTTTAGTGATATAAACATCTTTGTCGGACATTAAATTAGGTACTTCTTTGCTTAAATAGTTAAATATAAGTAGCGTTTTACGTATTTTATGTATTTTTATTTGAATTTATGCATTATTATATTTTATTGTGAGGTTTTTTTATACATTTATTTCAGTAGGTATGTGCGTCATACATTCTGATGATGCATTATCTTGGTTTTTAGATTAAATAGTATAATATTATTTATCTTTGCTATTTTGTTTATTTTTATTTTTAATCGTTCTTATAATATGAACTATAGGTACCTACCCTAAAACAATTTTTTAATACTATGGAAATAATAGGAACATCTGAAAAATTATATTACCTCTTTATTAATGTATTTTTATTACTTGTACGTCAGACAATTTTTTTTCTATAATTTATTTTATTCGTACCACGCGTTTTTTTGTAGATACGTGCCGTCTGGTGTGGCGTGATTTTATGACGTCACGCGTAAACAACACCAGTTTTTATTAAAAACTGTCTGGTAAACGTCTCGGTATCGTTTTCGTAATGCAACAATATTTTCAAAGTATAAAAATAATTTATTTGTTTAGTATAAATGTATATAACATTTGAAACTTAAAACTTGAAATTCGAATGCAAAACTCTATACACTTATTGTAATATTGTGTTAGGTAGGTATAACAGGTATTGTATTTTCATAAATCTCAAAAAATATTGATAGTTGATTTATTTTTACAAATTATATATAAAATTAAAATTTTAAATATCCTATAATTACTATAATAGCTCATAATATAAGGTTTTTCAAATCCTTTAACCTTTCTTTTAATTGAAAAAAAAATCATAATATAAACACAAGGCTAGTTTACGCTGAGGTGGACACTCATCATTCAGCCACAATGTACATTCCTCGACAGGTGATAGCACTAATTATAATTAAATATATATATTTATCATATATGCGTGTCTCGTGAAATGTAATTAGTTTGTTAAATATGAGTACAATTTTTTTTCTGTCTGAATGTCTCATGACTATATCGAGTAAGAGACTATTTGGTTTCTGTAATCCGGTTGTTATAAATACCTATAGGTACTTATTGTGCATATTTTTAAGTTATGACGTAGACTGCTCTTGCAAATACCAAATACCTACATATCAGCTGTTTACTCTAAATTTATCATTTTTTAAAATTGTTTTCCTTTTTATTACAATAATAATAAGATGAATATAAAAATATAAATATATAAATATAAATATGCTTTATTATCAACAGTAACATACTTTTTTGTTTTCATTGTGTTAGTTACAATGTAGA